AAAAATAATTCTCTTGTACATTCGAAAACTATTGAATTCTATTCCAGAATAAAACCAAAAAAAAATATGTTCGAAAAGTAATTTGAATCTCCCGCGCGCTATTTGAATCTAGTGCCCAAAAATGTCGTATGCACAGAGCACAGTTACACGGTTACACGTTGATTTACTATTGCAGTGTTAACCCGTCAAGTGCCGTGTATAATTGTGTTGTGAAATCGTAAGTAAAACTCTGTTATTAATAAGTGTTTTCCTACCTATTTAATAAATTTTAATCAAATTTAGCTTTAATGTCGGCCAAATATTAAAATAAAACAAAGAAATTACTATTTTTATCAGAATTTCTCTAATTGTAATAATTACGTCATTATTTCAGATATAAAATCTGTATAAAAATCTTAAAATTTCTTAGGAATAATATTTAATCAATTATTTTTGATAATTTAAAAAAGGATGGGTAATTTAAGTAGGCCCTGTAATTGTTTTCAGGTACTGTGTTAATCCTAGCCAGGATTAGAACGCAACATGGAGAAGCCAGGACCTAGTAAAAAACGTGAGGTTAAAGATGAAAATCGGCAGTTTCAAGAAATTTGGACTGAGAAATACTTTTTTGTATGGTCGCATAACAAAGTCGTTTGTTTAATTTGCAAGAATTCTGTTGCGATTGCAAAGGAATATAATGTAAAAAGGCACTATGAAACGCAGCATCCTTCCTTTGTCAAGTTTACAGGTGAATTAAGAAAGCAAAAAATGTTGTCTTTAAAACGGAAGCTTATTGGTCAGCAAGCTATGTTTACAAAACCCATTCAAGATTTAGAAACAGCTACAGAAGTTAATTATGAAATTTCTCGAATAATAGCAAAGCGAAGTCGCCCCTTCAATAATGGCGATTTTGTAAAAGAATGCATAGAAATTGCCGCTAAGAAAATGTGTCCAGAAGCATCAAAAGAGTTTGAAAAAATTCAACTGAATCGTATGACTATCCCAAGATGAATAATATCTTTGTTAGGTAATATTGCGGAACAATTAATTGAAAAAACTAAGATCATTGAATTTTTTTCATTAGCACTCGACGAATCCACTGATTATAGTTCCACAGCTCAACTTCTCATATTCATACGAGGTGTTACTCAAGAATATGAAGTCTTAGAAGAGTTATTAGGAATGTGTTCATTGAAAGATCAAACCAAAGGAGTTGATAGGTATACTTAATGTTCTTTTGGATGAGTGTTCAAAAACTGATTTGGACTAATCAAAATTATCGGGAGTTGCGACTGACGGTGCTCCTTCGATGATTGGTGTCAATTCCGGGCTAGTTACTTTGCTGAAAAAGCATCTGCAAGAAAAAAACATAAACTCTGAAGATCTTATGCAGTTTCACTGCATTAAACACCAAGAAGCCCTCTGTTCTAAAAAAATTGAATTTCAAAATGTCATGAAAGTGGTAGTTTCGATTGTAAATTTCATAAAATCACGAGGACTCAATCACAGACAATTCAAACAATTCCTTGATGATATCGAAAGTGAATACGGAGATTTACTGTATTATACAGAAGTAAGGTGGCTAAGTCGTGGATTGACACTGGAACGATTTCTAAATTTAATAGAAGAAATTGGAAAATTTCTGGCGGAAAAGCAAAGGGATGTCCCGGAACTTAAAAATCCTGATTGGTTGTGTTATTTGGCTTTTTTAGTTGACGTTACAAATCATTTGAATGTCTTGAACACACGGCTTCAAGGCAAAAATCTGATATCCCAGCTCTACGCTCATGTATCATCCTTTCAATGCAAGCTGACACTTTTCAGATCACAGTTGAATTCTGGAAATTACAATGATTTTCCGAATTATAAGAAAATGGCTGAAAAATTCAACAAAACTGCGATTAATTTCAGTTATGTAGAAAAGCTAGATATTTTGATTAAATCTTTTCAAGAAAGATTTTCGAAGTTTAAAAAAGTGAAACATCTGTTGGATTCAGCAATCCTTTCACGATTTCAGTTGAAAATGCGCCAGAGTCAATGCAGTTAGAAATTATCGTCGTTCAAAACGACCAAGATTTACGCAACAAATTCAACGAAGGAGACTTGCTAAACTTTTACCGCTGCATTGATAAAAATATGTACGAAGAGTTGCGCATAAATGCTCTGAAATGTGCCAGCTTCTTTGGTTCTACCTATATATGTGAACAAACTTTTTCAAGACTAAATAATAATAAAACAAAAAATCGAAACCGCGTTGCAAATGAAAGTTTGGAAGCAGTTTTACGTGTTGCTACAAGTAAATTTGAGCCAAATATAAAAAAGATTGTAAGCACTATGCAGTGCCACGCTTCAAATTAATAAATGATTTTTCAATCTTAATAAATTATTATCAATTCTTTATTGTTTTTAATTACCTATACTTCTGGCGGCCGGCTCGAATCAGTTCATGATTTGCCCGAGTGGCCCCTAGTATTAATAAGTCTGTGCATCCCTGGTTTAGACAATCGGCATATCTGTTTTGAAATACTGTCAAATAAACTAAACTAAACTCGTAAAACAGACTGGAAAGCATATCAAGCTTACCTTCAGTATGGATTAGACAGAGTTAAACGGACCACAAAGCATACACTGGACCTAGATAGATTTTATAACAGCCTGTAGTGTCTACTGCTTGACATAAGGCTCCCTCGGTTGTCTCCAGTGCTCTTAATGTTTGACCGTATATTTTTCGTTTGTGGTACCCCTCTTCTATAACCGTCTTTCCCTATCTTTTATATGCCCGTAATTTTGGATGCCACACCATTATGATTTTACTCTAACTACCGTAGTTCATTTTCTGTAAGTATTCGGCCCAGTTCCACTTTATATGATATTCGTTCCACAGCATTTGTAATACCTGTTCTGGCTTTAATAATAGGTTGTATATCAAGTAATTATGTCATACTAGGATATTGTCAGTAGCCACATCCTTAAGACATTTGATCACGTTGTTTTAGGACTCAGTCTTTAGAGTTTTAAAATCATTTTTGACATTTTTGAAATTCCTTAATTTACCGTTTGCGAATACTGTTGGTGAATACTTTTTATATACTTATAGATATATATTTATTTTATATACTTATTTATATAAAATTGGTTTTATAAGATATACAGTATGGAAACCATTTATGGAATAAAATTGCTTGTGTCCTTATTTTAGAAAATAATAAAAAACGTTGAGATTTTTAAACTTTTTAAACATAAATTTGAATGTGCAGGGTGATCCACGCAAGCCTGGCATAGTCCATGATCTGTATTTTAAATGAAACACTTTGTATATTTTTATGTTTTTAAAAACTCCTTAACAACCTGATCTCAACGAACTATATCATGTAGGGTCTATTATGAATAATACAAGGTGAAATTTTGAAAGACAATCAAGACAATTCATAGAATACCCGAGATAATTGATTTGGTTACATTAAAATAAATGCTTAAAATGTTCTCCACCTTGTTGTTGGTAATAACACAATCTCCTATAAATCTTGTCCCGAACTTTATTTAAAGTTTGAGGTGAAATATTTCGTAGTTCTGTAGTTATCCTTTCTTTGAGGACTTCAATACTAGTTCGTTGTGTTGCATATACTTTGTTCTTGAGATAACTCCACAGAAAAAACATCCAAAGACGTAAGATCCGGCGACCTAGCTGGCCATTAAATAGTAGGTACCACTTCGTCCAATCCATTTATTGAAAAATATTTCATTCAAGTAATTTCTCACCATCAAAGCATAATGGGGTAGCCAACTGGAGAAGAACATCGTCTCTTAGCATGCTTAAATATTTTTCCGCTGTCAAATTACCACCTACAAATATAGGACCAATAATATGATCTCCTATAATACCTGCCCAAACATTTAACATTTAAGGATACTGAGTGTGTGTCTCACGCATCCAATGAGGATTCTCCACTGACCAATATCTACAGTTTTGTCAGTTACCTCTTCGTTCAATGTAAATGTTGATTCATCAGAAAAAAGAATTGTGCCAAGAGCTATTTCATGTGTGTAAATTTTATCCATCATTCTTTCGCACAAATCCATTCTACGATCTGGATCGTCTTCTGTTAGCTCCTGCATAAAAGTTAATTTATATGGATGAAGTTTTTCTTCATGGGGACACCTTAGGACAGTTGTGTGACTCACATTATTTTGACGTGCAATTTGACGTGAACTTGACGTAGGATTCTCTGCGACACTTACAAAATATCCACTTTCACCTCATCTTCAATACATAAAGTTCGGTTTTTTAATGGTCTAAGCTAAGTTCTCTGAATTGTGCATAAATTTTAGACATAGTACCTTGTAAAATATTAGGCAATTGAGGATACCTCTGATTAAATAAGTTTGCTATTTCAACTTGACTTCTACAATTCTTCCCGTAACCGATCATTATTAAAATATTAATTTTGTGGGTCTCAGTTAAATATTTCATTTTTATTTTTGCAAGAAATTAGCTTTTAATTAAGGAATTTATTATTTTAATGTAAAATGTCAACACACCAACAACTGATTGATAACAATCCGCATTATTTCCCGATTTAGTTTAATTAGCAGACTATCTAGACAGTTTTTACCTATTCATGATAAAAAATGTTAACACTGTTACTAAACAGAAATTGTCCCCAATATACTGACACATAGAGTAGAAGTGTATTGTATATATTTAGCTAATTTAAAATAATACCATAACACGTGACAAATTATTAATTTTAAAATTTCACCTTGTATTATTCATTATAGACCCTACATGATATAGTTCGTTAAAATCAGGTTGTTAAGAATCTCTTAAATATAAAAATATACAGGGTGTTTCATAAAAATGAAGATTATGAACTATGCCAGACTTGCGTGGATCACCCTGTATATTTAAATGTTAACGTGTCCTTCAGTTTTTTTATTATTTTCTATAATAAGGACACAAACAATTTTATTCCATAAGTGGTTTCCACACTGTATATAGTTATTATATATTTTCCTTTTAGGACTTGTGGACATGGAGTAAGCTTTGTACATGTGCTGGTGGAATCTTATTTGCACTATCTGATCTCCTTATCGGCATCGATAGATTCAAATTTAATATTGAATATGCACAAGTAAGTACACCTAGTAAGTCTAGATATGATATATTAGATAAGGTTTTACACAAGTTACATAACCATTATTTCCTGAAATAAAATAAATTAAAATAAAATAATAATAAACAAATAACAAACATGTGACATTTATAACGTTACAAGGGGCTCGTATTCGCTACTCTAAATAGTAAATTCACCAATTCCCATCATATTGGCACCTGTTAAGGCTGTATTTCTAATAGTAGAACAAATAAAGTAACGTTTTGTTTTTGGCTAAGTTAAATTTCTTGTTATTGTGAAATCAGTCTTATAAACATTTCCCAGATTTAGCCATACGGCTCACACTCCCTCTAAGGGTAAAATTCACTCATCCCAGATACCTACAGTATCAAAAGGATTGAGCTCTGGTTGGACTCTTTCCATGTTATCAATCCCTAGGTGACTCGGTATGTTGGAGTATCTCTCAAAAATTTTCGTACACATCTGGGCGTCGCGAGGAGTACAGCTTTCTGCATGGCCTTATAGTGATGTTCCTTTAGACCCAGCTGGTTTATGTTCTCTACTAGGTTTTTGGGAATAACACCAGTAATATATAGAATAATAGGTACTGTCTGGGTACTTTCCATTCTCCATTGTCTCCTGATTTGTATTTCTGTACATTATTTCCAGTATCTTCAGTATTTGGATCTCTGTACTTATCGATCTATTCCTTGTATTTAACACGTAAATTATTGGTGTTGGGTATCGCCACATCAATAAGTGTTGTATGCCTAGTAATTTTATTAACTAGTATGAGATCCGGTCTATTATGCGCCACTGGTTGGTCTGTAAGCACAGTGCGGTTCCAGTATAGCTTGTAGTTGTCATTTTCAAGCATTCTTGTGCTTTTCATTGTGTATTTTTATTATTAACAATATTGTCAGGGACGTATTGATAATAAGGAAGATGGTCGGTTTGGAGAAGTCCCAGTTTGTTCTTGGTGAATAATCTTTCCTACTGAGTAATGGCGTTCTTTATAATCAGTACCGACAGTTTCTTGGGTTTGGTATCCATATCGGCATTTGTCATTTTAATAAACATTTTATTATTTTTTTTTTGATTATGTTTTTTTTTAATTGGACATGTGATTTTTCTCTTTTTCAGGTATTAGTTATGTCAACGTATTACGCAGGCCAATTTGGAATAGCTGTAAGTGTTGTCGATGCCACGGCTCCTATAAATCTTGAAAAAAATAAAAAGGCGTAATGTGTGCAACCCCTTACTGGGATAATTAGCTCAAGATTTAGGCCAAATATATAAAATATAATTTAAGTAAAATGAATATTAGAAAAGTTGCATCTACTAGTAATTCAATATATTAGAAAGTTATTTGATAAATAATGATCAAACTGACTGTTGTCAATTTTTAGTTTCAATTATAATTCATGTTTTGTACTGTTTTTAACATAGCTACAAAAATAGCCCAGTCTGGTTAAAAAAGGTCGAAACATTTTTCGCAAATATCTGAAGCTTTTAAGACATAGGTGGGGGTTGCTAGTCGTATTTTTACCTTGCGTTTTTTTTTACAATAATTTGTGATCACAATTTGATTTTTTATCTTTAAGTTTTTTCGCTTATATTTTACGTAAACAATATTTATATCATTTTTTTATATCAAGAATATCTTTATTTTCCCGTTTTTTAAATTAAAATTGATAATAACTTACGGAGATATTTGCAAATAAGCAATTTTTTTGCCCTAATTTATAAACTTTATTAATTCTGTATTATTAACAAAATAAAATGTTATTATTACATTTAAACATCGAGGAATTACCGTCTTTTAAATTTGTGCGAAATTTCCCCCCGATCGCTCAAATAGATTAAAATTGTTCTGAAGCTATTTTCTTGTGACATTGTAAATTAATTACTATTAAACTGGGAATAAGCCACAATTAAAGATAAAAATACGTTTATTGACGTTTCAATTTCCACTTCGGAAATCGTTCTCAAAATACAAACAGTAAATTCTTAGAACTTAGAACGAGATCCTACAGCATACACAAGGAATAATACGAGGAAAATAACAATACCGTACATAAAAGGACTATCAGAAAAACTTAAAAGGATAGGAAATAAATTCAACAGTTCAACAACATTCAAAACAACAAACACGTTGAGATCTATTTTGTCCAAAACCAAACCTAACAATGAACAAGAAAGGACAAAGAATTGCATTTATAAAATACCTTGTGAATGCGATCAGTTTTATTTAGGTGAATCATCAAGGCCATTAAATGTTAGAATAAGTGAACATCAATCCTATATTAAAAATAAAGAATTTGATAGATCTCAAATCTGTAAACACGCATGGGATAATGAACATAGGGTTCAATGGAATAATTCAAATGTAGTCCTAAAAGAAACGGATGGTAAAAAAAGAAAAATCAAAGAAGCGGCACTAATTATGCTAAATGAGGCCAATTGTGTCGCAAATTCCTCGGCAGAATGTAGTAGGATCTGGTTAACAATATTGAAAGAGGAAGTTATTAATAAGAAAATACCAGTATTAGTAAGTCAGTAACATAAATATAGAGGATACATCATTTATGTTTTTTAAATAACGTAACATATAAAATCAGAATTTTGATGTTTGTTGAAGGTAAACTAAATTTACGAACAAATACTTACAATGTCGGGATAGTATTATTAGGTTTTTTTCCTGGTTTTCCCTCATAATTTACTATGGAATCACTAACAGGAGAATTTTACTGTCATCATGTCATGTGTTTGTCTTTTTAAAGACGAATTACATGCTATGATTTTTTTCTGACGGATATTCTCAAGTTAAAGTTGATTTCATGTAATCGAATGAACTATCTTATAAGTAAAGCCGTCCCAGGAGCGCAACTCAATAATATTGGCAATATCATTTTAAAGTCGTCTACTTTAAAATGCATAGTGTATGTCTGAATTGTCAATATAAATGAGTCAGATAAAATTAAATTATTAGAAGAATTTTTCACTATGTAACAAAAAACAAAATTTGTTTAATTTACTGTTTGTATTTTGAGAACGATTTCCGAAGTGGAAATAAACGTATTTTTATTAAAAAAAAAAAAAAAAAAAAAAAATAGATTAAAAGTTATTTAATTTGTTTATCCCTGAGGCTAATTATTTAAACCATTGAACTTGCCCTATGCATGATGCTAGATACATTTAGCAAATTTCATAGGATTTTTTAAGACTTAAGCTATCTCAAGTTAAATGCATATTGCGTTTTCATCGAAATTATTTACAAAATAAACGTTTGAAAAAGGGGTATGTTTTTGCTGATAAACAATTGTAATAACTTCTATATTTTTCAAGCTACATACTTGTACGTATAACCATTGGATAGCTGGTAGAAAAACCTTCTATGACCAATAGGAACGAAATTAGGGACTATTTTTTAAAAAATCATATCTCCATTGTTTATAAACATTAAAAAGTAAAATTTGCACATATTTTGAATTAAAATCTAAACTTTATAGTGAAACTTATAGCTATATAATTTATCCAATTTTTAGAAACTTACAGCCCTTCAAAACAAAAGTACTTTCGAAAGTTCGACATAGGAAAGTGGAGAGGATGACTGTTTCAGCTGCGTTTATTTTTCGAGATCGGAACTTCAAATTGAAATACGTAGGAAAAATTTAAATTATCTTGTTTTTAAAAATGAAACTGGAACAAACCATGAAGTGGAGATATCCAGGAATGGCTAGTATACCTGTTGAATACAAAGCACGTGGTGTTCGTGTGTATTAAGGTATAAAAACGCTTATTAAAAGCTTAAAATTTTTTATTATAAAGAAGATCTTTTCGGAATTGTATCATTCCATCATCAGTTTAATAAAAAAGGTTGTTAAAAAACATTGTGTGGCCACATAAAAAACATTCGGTGGACATCTTGATTTATTTATTATTTATTATTATTTTTTAAATCAAGATGTCCACCGAATGTTTTTTATGTGGCCACACAATGTTTTTTAACAACCTTTTTTATTAAACTGATGATGGAATGATACAATTCCGAAAAGATCTTCTTTATAATAAAAAATTTTAAGCTTTTAATAAGCGTTTTTATACCTTAATACACACGAACACCACGTGCTTTGTAAATTATCTTGGCTTCCATTGCAGCTAGAAGCCTCTTTTTTTTTAATCTGGAGTAGCTCGTCTAAATATGAATAACTACATAGTTTTCACTGGCCGGGAAATTCACCGTAAAAACTTTTCTTTTAATTTGGCTGGAATAGTCTGTCTTTTCACCCCTCCCCCTTCCAGAAATCTCGGAAATTCCCGGAAAATCAACATATATTTTTTTCATTTTATATCAATGATGTAATAATACTTTTTTATACACAATATAATATTATATTCTTATATTAACTATAATTATTTGTATTTTTATTATTAACAATATTGATTTTTATTCTATTTTTCGTAAAAATATGATATACAATATTAATCTAATCTGCGTTACGTTAGACATAGACAACCAGACTGGGCTAAAAACATAGTTACTATAGTAACAAAAATATCAAACTAAAAGTGCCAATAAATCTTTACAAACCTATGAAATATCAATGTCTGTTTGTCTTAGTGGCGCGATAAGGGCCCCGGTGCACTATCTGGTAGGGTATTGTAATTATATCTAAGTGTTAGTATGATGAGATATTGTTGCGTACAACTCTTATAAAGTTTTTGCCTTTTTTTATTTTGTAACATCAATGCTGGGCTCTTGCTTCATACATTAGATACTTTTTAAGGGCGTAATTTCATCATATGCGTTTTCTATCACATTAAGTTTTTGATTAGATATTGCATACTACATACAGCGCTAAAATCGGCAACTTTGTCTCTCAGATGTTCTTCTTCTTATAGTGCCGTACACCTACAGTGCGTTGGCGAATTATCTTAAGGCCAGACTTAATATCGCCTGTTCCACCGATAACTCGTTTTGGAAAAGTATTGTTTAAGTACTCTCTAATTATCGACCGTTGTGAGCTGAACAGCCGTCTTGATGAAACCAAACATTCTCCAAATCTACATCAGGAAGATTGAGAATAGCGGGAAGAAAATGATTTTGTAACAAATTGAGGTATACTTTTTTATTCAAGTTGCCCTCAATAAAAAATGGACCTATTATGTGGTCTCCTAAAATGGTAATCCAGGCGTTAATTTTTTAGGACGTTGAGTTCGGTAAACAACTCTTCTGTGCTGGTTTTTCCGCACCTAATACCTCATAATGGAAGGATTGTGTCTCCCTACCAACGATACGGAAGATTCATCAGTGAATAAAATGTTTTTAATAAAATTTGGTTCATCATTAGCCTTCGTTATTAGAGTTTCACAAAACTCCATTCTTCGAAAGTAGTCGTCTGGATAAAGCTGTTGCGTTTTCGAATATTTAAAATTCTTGTAACCCTGCTTTTTCCATACTTTCGTTACGGTAACATTGCTAACATAAAACTCCCTAGCAACTCTTCTACTTAAACGTATTAACCTCGATTGTTGCACAAATTTGTGTATCCCGGTATGCTCTTTCCTCAAATTTTTATGGTGACACTTCTTGAGCGTAGCATTTTATGCCCTTTTTGATGCAATAACAACTCAAAACGTTAAACAACATTATGACTTGACTTTATGTAAAGAATTGGACTCCCCTTAAAAAACAACGAACATAAATCTACACACTGTTGTCCAGAATTACCACCATAAAATCATTTTATTATTTGAACCTTTTCTGCGATCGTATAAAGAGGCATGTTGTTTACAAAATACATTAAAAATCTACGCTGTTATTGCTTTAAACAACCACTATACGGTGACAAATTATTTCAAGCAGATTCGTAGAAAGTCGACAGCGCGCAGTGTTGCCATTTACAGGGTGTATATCTAATTTAAAACGTATTGTATTCAAAAGATCCTGTTATGATAACTATATTGTCTAGTCTTTGATTTGTCTATACAATCCCTGTTATTCCTCATTTTTCTATGCTACTGCACAAGACATTAGGCCGATCACATTAGACTAATACTGTTGTTCAATTTTTAAGTGCTGTTCATCTTTCTTAAGGCATTGATTATCAATGTTTTAAATGCCAAAAATTGTGTATTGTTATATTTGTCAATCATTATTACATCTTTTTGGATGTTTTCAAGCCCTGTTTTCACATTACATTCTCATTTTTTCGTTTTATAGAAGACTTTTTTACTTCCACTAGATATATTTCTACTGTATATTTTTTTATAGACTTTTTTCGTTATACACAAAATATTTTTATTGGTACTTCTACGTCTGCACTACACCTGTAAGGGCAAACAAAACTTTTAACGGTTTTATCAATCTTATTACTGACAGTATGAGATCCTCTTCTATATTATTATGCTTCGAACTTCATTAACTTAGTCTTATCTAGAGGATATCTGCATCTAACACCGTTTAAG